ATAGTTAAGAAGAAATTATTATATATAATTTAATAATTTAAAATAATCTATATATAATTTATTAAAGTTAAGAGTAATTTATATATAATGAATGACAATTAATTTAATTAAAAACAACTATGTACATTTCGTTAATTAGTCATTTGCATTTTCATTTAGTTATAAAAAATTTATCTTTTATAAACGCAATTATTATTTGCATATTTAATTTACAATTAAATCAACATCAACAATACTTTAATTCAAAAACAATAAATATAAATTCTCTTCCTTCAGAAAAAAATCACAAAATACAAACTTCAAAGTCAACATAAAATTAACTTCAACGTGAAGTAATATTTTAATTCAAATTTTTAACCTATTTATATTACATTCTTATTATTATTCTATATAACTGAGGTTTGAAGAAAACTCAATTAAAAAGTTTAGAATTTTTAATATTAATCTCTCGACTAACCTAGTTTCGTTTAAACCGAATGATTAATATAATATTAATCTTTTAACTAAAAGCAGGATTCATTACGATGGCCATCTGCAGTCGCCTCTCAAGAACTAAGTAGAGCATAGTTCAGTTAAGGCAAAGTAAACATGGAAAGAGTAAAAATGCAGATGATGCGCCATATGATCCAAGGATGATAAATTTTTTACAACATATGGAAAACCAAAGAAGAAACAAATGTTGGCACTATAATCAATATCAATGAAAAATGCACATTTTTACCCGTTATTGTAAAATGAACATTGAAAATGTATCTGTCACTAAACATTACATGTAACAACTCCTGTATGTTCACGGTCAACACCAGCACGCCTTTGTCCTGCCAGAAAGAAAAGACTTTAGCAGCCATGCAAAACAAAACAAATATTATTACAGTAGTAAGATGTTTGAACAGCACTAACGAAAGCACTCCAATTGGTACTTAAATGAAAGAGACAGTAAATAGCATATGCAGCACTGAATATCTCTGTTAAATCATATATAAGCCAGAAAAACAGCTCTAGTAGCATTGGCTTATTGTACTTCCAGTTTCTAGTTATTCCAATCAAATGAAAACCTAATAATAGAATACTTAATTTTGTCAAATATATCCTATAAAGTCAATAGACCAAGAATTTTTATACCTAAAACATAAACATTGGTCATCCACAGTCAACACCACGCTTTTCAACAGGTATTAACATTTTTACCCAATACATAAAGCTTCTTTCATAATTACATTAGTTTGAACTGAAAAACTGCCTTGCTTCCTCACAGTTTCATGTTTCCACCTACTAAAAAAGCAAGCTACCAAACAAATCGACCTAGCATAACTCTCATATACATTCAATCCATTCAATGCTTAACTATGGCAGAACAGAAATACATTTGATGGCATCAAAGTTAACATATATATTCTCTATATACATGTAATATGTGGGTCAAGTGATCAAATTCAACACTTGAAAGGCTTCGATACTTGAAAGGGTAAAAACCTTAAAAGCCAACATTGGGACAGGACAATCATGAACAATAAATGATTCTTTCAACATGATCTTCAGTAAATTAAACATTTGCAGATAACTATGCAAGCATGCAAATACAGAAACGCTAAAACATATGAAAACAATTTTTGCAGACAAAAATATAGACCTGGGAGTCTAACTTCTCTCAGTTACAGATTTTATTACGAAAATAAAAGTTCCATCAAAACTACACTATTTTTTTTGTCCCAATAATATTCTCTTCTCTTCTTCAGGGCATAATTTTGTTAATTTGATAAAATCCCCATATATCCAGAAGGTTTGATTTAATTCTAACAGTAAAGTTTACAAACTCAAACTGTGAATATGCTTAATCCAATATTCTAGGCCGTTCCTTTAGGAGGCTGCCAAGGCCCAATCTTGATTCCAACAAAAGTCACACGCTAAAATGGGCTGAAATTCAACCCAAAAAAAATGTACGAAAATCAAACCAAACTCCTAAAAAAACTAAAGATGAAATCCGAGCATCATATATTTAAGGTGCAAAAGAAATAATAATGAAATCACAAACCAGGAAAACAACAAATTTTCGGCAGGAAGAGATTGTGGATAAAGGCAAGAGCAGATGTGATCAGTGCCAAAGAAGAAATTTTCAGAATAATAAACAAGAAAGATGACAAAGCATTGTGTTCAAAGGAAGAAGAAAAAAATGCAACAGGATATAGTCCGACATAGACTTCATTACATAAATACAAATAGGAAAACTAGATTAAAACAGAAAATTCGAAAATATTATATTAGAAATACAAATCTCTATTTAGAAACTGAAGTCAAGGAAAAACTAAAGCTTTTATGAATTTCAATACTTGGCTCGTGCATCACAATCTAAAAAGTGTGATCTTGGACAAAATCGAACCAAAAGAAACAAACATCATGCAGTATTATTCTTGGAAACTGAAAATTAATGTATCAAGTTAATATTCAACATTTCCATATGCTCTTCAATTCCCTTTCTACATAAGGTTCACAGGAAACAAGAACCATTCTTCAAATAAGAGGCGGCTTATTGAAGACTCTATTCAAATATACCTAGTTGGTAATGCATTAAGATGGTACTTACGATGCACCAACAACCAGCTTTAAGCAGGTAATAAAAACAAACAAGTGCTTGTCTCAGAACTTCCTTTTTGTATTACAAAATACATATCTTCACAACATGTTAGTTACTTATTTACCCTCAAGTATTTATTTTTTACACAAAAAACAATAAATACTTCTTTTACGTACTTCTTTTTAAAAAAGTTACTTCAGTTACTTTAAGCAACTGTTTCCATAAGCACATTTTGTAGCAATCCCAAACACCCTCCAAACAAAAACCATCATCACCAAATCTCCAAAATAGCTAAAACTCGTCCACTGAAAAGGCAACAACTACTAAGTTTTCTATTATTTTCCAAGAACCAAACAGAACCTAAAATTAAAACATACAACAGATTTGCATCTAGGTTAATATTTAAAATCCAAAATAGATCAAAGCACACCATCTTTTGCTTAGCTGGACCCACTCTCTCATCCTTTTAACTCCCTAAGTTCCAATGATCTATTCCCTTTCTCCAAATTTTTCTGCTTCAAAACACCCATATGATTCCCCAGCCAAAATGACAAAACATTTGGAAGGAGGGACAATGATGGAGTAGTGCTGCAATACTTCCCTCTGTTTTTGATTGCATTGAATATCCTCACTGAAAGATTGCTAAGAAGAAGGAAAAAATGAATATTAATTAGAAGACTCTAGATATCCACCAACTGTAAAGGTGATGCATGTTAAACAGTGTATGTTGAATAGCGGAATGAAAGGTGAAGATTATTCAATTTAAACTTATGTATGCATTCCCGTAATTTGAAAAATACACGGTTAGGATAAATAATACAGCCAAAAGTCTAAAACTGTATCGATTAGTAAGAAAAGGAATAAACAGGGTTTTGTGGAGAATGCACGTGGATGAAGAAGATTGAAGAAGGAAATGGAGGATATCACTCTTGTATTCAAGCGCTTACCCATATTACGGTAGGTTTATACATATTCAGATGAGTGTTTAGTTTATG